GGAAACCACCAGCTCTAATTGATTTTCGTTAGCAAGCTGGAGCTCCATTACTACCTCCAGGAATTTTCAGTGCTTAGCGCAACAGATCAAAATAATTCATGCCTTAAAAAATCCGAGTAGAAAAGAAAAAAAATAAAACCCCAAAGATAAAAAAACGCTAGGGCTAAGCCGAACCAATTCAAAGTACTTGTTTCATAGATTCAGGTGGGGCTCTGCTTTCTGGTTGGGCTAGGGTTTGTAAAACCCGAACAAAAAGCGGTAATATAATTGGTTATACGTGACTCGGAAATAAAGCGGGACGATATCCTTTGCCTAAATTTGTTTATTAATTAAAAAACAAAAGTGCATTTTTCAAATAAAAAATGCAAGCTAACTGTGACTGTGGCTTTGAAATCTAAAAATATATAATTTGAATATATAACTGTGAATATGGTAAATATAATTTTGGGTTTTTTTTTTTATTTGTCCAGTTGGTCTATCTTGTTACTATTACCAGCATCCTAAGCTGTGCAATTTATATTTCAACTTCCAAATTGAAGAATTAAATTTGAAGCAAAAGAAAAAATTTAACTTCTAATTTAGTTTTACACTTTCAAAATGTACTGCATCTTCTAGGGCTGCAAACGAGCCGAGCAGATTCGAGTTTTGGCCTAATCGAATCGAGTCTTGACATAATTCTAGTGAACTCGAATTCGACGAGCCGACAATTTCAAGCTCGAGTTCGAAAAAATAAATAAAATAATATTTTTTCTTAATAAATAATAAAATATTAATGATATATATGTAATTTTACTATTAAAATAAAAAATATAAAATATAAAATATATATACTTAAAATAAAAAAATAAAAATATATATATACTTAAAAAAAAAGAAATATATATATATATCGCGAACAACGAGCTTAATAACTTGAGTTCGAGTTCGAGCTCGACTCGAGCGGCTCTGTTCGTTTGCAGCCCGAACATCTTCAAAATAAAAAAACTAGGTTTAGTACTTTGTAATATAAATGTCGATTGAATGGTGCCAACTTTTCTTCTGAAAACTTTTGTGGTTGATTCCATATTGCTCCTCTAATTTAGAAGATAAAATTTGAAGCAAATTACCAAAAAAAAAAAAAACCTCAAAACCTACAATTTAGTTTAACATTTTTAGGATATATTATCTGTACGTCCCATAATATGATAACATATAAAACCAAGAATTGACCACAATGGTTGCAAGTGTTGGCATCTGAAACTGCAAATAAAAAACTAATAGTAATATCTTATAATATCCCCAATAACTAAAAATAATAATAATAAAAATGCACAATATAATTAATAATGCCCAAGGTTATTCTCAGTTGTTGGGTTGAATTTAGATCAAATATATACAAATTGAGTAAATATAGTTTATGGCCAAATGTTTTACAACTTTCTCTTAAACTGTCTTTTTTTTTTGTGTATTTTTTGGTAGGATTTGTGTTGTTTTCATGATTGTTTTTATCAAAAATAAAAGATTTCTAGAAAATTTACTTTGGAAGGGCTAGTAAGACTTTGTTTTTAGGTTAAGGAATAGTACGATTATTGATTTTTAAATCCATGATCAATGAATTTTTTTAAAATTTTTTGTGTAATTTGTCCTTTTAGTTAGGGTTATTGAGTTGAAGGATAAAATATTTGTTAGGATGTTTCATGTTTATTTACCCTCCCATGAATAATTTTCAAACCAAATTTCTATATTAGTGAAGTTACTTCTTATATTTTAAATTCAAATGTAGGACAGAATATTTGATAATTAAAAAATTTTCAAAATCCTATTAAAAAAAATAAGGAGTTGCAAGTATTGGGACTTGAACATCATAAAATTTCCATCTATAATTTATATAGATTTAATTATATATATTATTAACATATTGTTATATTGGACTGAGTTTTTACTTGGTATCTTTTTTTTTTTAATATCTACTAGAGTGGGCAGGTTTTACCATTATATTCAATTTCAATTTTTACGCAAAATAATAGTAAGGCTCAATGCACGCCAACATATGTGCATATAAGAAATTTATCCCAATAAAATTACAAACTAGTAATGAACACTGTAAGTACATTTCCTGTCATTTCTCCTATTTTCTAAATTCCACTCCTCCTTTGTTAAAAAAAAACATAAAAAATATGTCTGACGAATTATTTCTATAATTAGAAAAGGCAAAAAATAAATGATAAACTTTTTTAATGCCACATATGTAACATTACTTGACAAAAAAACTAATATGTTGAAGTTATAAATTTACTCTAATTTATAGTCATTGCATTTGCGGATATTACGGGTAATTTTGTTAAGTCAAGTGTTGCATGACACATATATTTTCTCCCTCCCATTATAGTTAGGAGTAAATAGGATATAAAACAACATAAGCTAAGATAATTGAAATACATTTCAACTTATTACATGCCCTTGATATATGTTCTATTATCACGAGTTATATATAAATTCTGTATTATATACATACACACATGTATATATGTGTGTGTATATTGAATGTAGACCTTGAACTAATATATCTATCGAACTTATGGAAGGCTGTTCAAAATTATTTATCCATCTATATAAAAATTTTCAATTAACTCCAAGGACCTTGAATATGATTCTTTGCTGTGTGTTTCAATGATAACTACTTCTTAGTTTGGATTAATAGTTTTTTAGACAAATAATTTTTATATTTGGAATCTACGATAACACACTTCAAAAAACATCCTCAAAAAATATTCTAAATGCACACAACTCAAATACAATTAATCGAAATAAATAAATAAACCTACCACCTATTTATTCCACTAATGGTGTTTTTCATCTAATGTTTGGTGTTTTTCTTATTTTCTCAGCTTGCATCTCTAGTTAAATGGCTGTTCCATGAAAGTTAACGGGTCTTTTTCTTAAACATTCCAACCATATTAAAACCGTGTTAAATTGAGTTTTTCTTTTGATTTTTATTTTTGGGACAAAGAAAAATTGATTAAGTTAATATCCATCGAAGGTTAAAATAATTACGTAATAATACATAAAATTTCACAACTTAAGGAGAAATTTAAATTGATGGTAAGACCGATGACAAATCTTTTTTATGAAAAAAATAATGACATTTGAAATGTATGTAAGAAAAGCCCTCTTATGAATACAAGAGACCTTGAGATATATTCCTGTGCATGCTTAAATTATGACATGGAGGAAATGAAGTATGTCATAAAAAGACTATCTACTTTATTACGTGACCATAAATAGACTATCCATCCACTTTGGGGAAAAAAAATCTGCGATCTTTCTTATAAAGTGTGGTATATAAAATTTATATACCTGTTAAATCATCAAATTTTTAAGAATGTTAAATGATATCTACCAATAAATATTTAACCAGATTTTTTTTAAAAAATGCAGGTGGAGGGATTTGTGTTTGGATTGTAAATTATTACACATTACTTACACCTTATTTACACACACTGGCTTGCTTGCATCATTAATATATTTTCCAATCATATTTTTATTTCACATACATCATATCAAAAAAGTGCTACAGTATTTTTTCACAAAATTATCTCAAATAATTTACAATCCAAACACACTTATATGAAAGAAATTTGAGTAATCCCTAGTAATTGAAAAGTGAAAATTGAAATATGAAAACTAATACTTAATTGCCCAATTAGTAAGAAAGAAACACACAAAGTATGTTATAAATAAAATAATCATATTGTAAGTGCACGCATTCTATAGTAATCACAACGCTTATCACTTATAGTGAACATTGAAACTGTGGATAATTTCAAAAACTTCCCTTGAGGTTTTTGACTATTTCATTGGTCTCCCTTCAAATTTTTAAAGTCATACTAACCTCCTTTGAGGTTAATTATCTTGTAACATTTAGATCCAATCAATAATTAAAAAGTGACACTAGGAGGGAGAAAATAGCATGATTGCACCATTGTCTATCATCTACTAAATTGTTTAATTAATTTAATACTAGCCCAAACGTTAAAGAAAAAACTAAAATTTGCTGTTTATTACTAGAGATTAAATTATATATGGTATCACAAATAATATATCATTCTATATATTTTACTTAATACAAAATCTAAATTACTCTTTTTAATTACAAATCAATTGTCAAATATGATCAATAATAAGTAATTTAAAAATGTGAAACCAAAAAATCACAGAGAACAAATTTTAATATCACCAATATTCTTGTTAGCACATTTAGATTAGTTGTTGAAAATTTTGTAGTATTAAAGTTCATTTTTTTGTAATATTTTGGTTACAGATTTTTTTGATTAATTGTTGTTAACCATGTTTGACAATGGATTTGCAACTGAAAAGAGTAATTTAGATTTTACATTAAGTGAAATATATAGAGTGATATACTATTTTTGATGCTATATGTGATTTAATCCTTGATGATAAATAGCAAATTTTAGTATTTTTTAAAATATTTGAACCGGTATTAGATTAATTAAACAATTTAAGAGACAATGATAATGGTAGAATCATATTATTTTCTCTCTCATAATATTACTTTTTAATCGTTGGTTGGACGTAGACGTTACAAAATAATAAATTTCAAACAAAGTTAGTGTAATTTTCAAAACTTAGAAGGAGGCAAGTGAAAAACCTTAGCGAGGTTTCTAAAATTATCCCTTGAAACCGCTCCGCACAAATATTAACCTTTTATAATCTTAGACGCTATACTAAACCATCGCACAATTAAATATTATTATGACAAAAGTATTTATTTGATGAAATTACAACTTAATCAAAAGTTAACCATACAAATTTTTTTTTTGTGGCAACTCTTCCCAAAGAATACCAAAATTACTGTTTAAAATTATTTTATTCAACGTGGAGCACAAGGAAGAAATTTTGAGAATAGAAATAAAGAATGCATCGAAAAAGGGGAGGGGAAGTGTGTAATTTAATATTAATATTAAAATACCAACCAGCTGAAATCTGCTAGTGGGTATCTAAATCCTACCCGGGTGAACGAGAACCGCCTCTGCCTTTTCTTTCTGCCCATAGCAGTCGTAGTTGTAGTACATAACAATTCTTCTCGCTATATAAGAAGAAGACGAACGTTAATACAACAACAAGGCGGATGAATTCTGGTGAAGTTCTAGCATTGATCCCCGGAGCCTAGGGTTTCGTTGTCACTCCACTTTGGGAGCGAATTAGCCAGGAATTTGTTGACTTCGATCACCGCAAATCGCTTTCTCGCATCGCATTGCCCCTTGACTTCATCGTCTTGCTTTTGGAAACCCGTAGGAGAGTTTCTAGGGTTTCCACTAACGCTGCAAGTATCTGTGTCCTGTTTCCTGTTTCCTGATCATCTGAGGCGAGAACGATAACTCGCCGATCACATAGCAGTATACGTAATACAAATATTTGTACGTATGCTTTGTATGTGCAGTAAATATTTGTACGGAAAATAGAGATGAAGGAAATAGGCGATGAAAAAATTGAATGAGAATTCCAATATTAATGGCATTGCTAGTGATTCTGTTTTGTCATGGACTTGAAAACCAAAGTCCATTTATTTGTCTATGTTTTTGGTGGAAATTTTTGAGGACTGAAATTGATGAATACTCCGGGTAGGGTTTTAAAAATTTTCACGTTGCAAGTATATGTACTCCGCAGTATTAAACTTCATGGTGGCTATTGTACAAATATGTATTATGAGCTGTTGGTGAAATTTGGCGTTGGTTTTATTTCGGTATAATTTGATTTTGGGCATCTCGTGGTGATACATTTTTGCGGGTTGACACTTGACACTCTGTAGTTAGAATTTCATGGCCCACAAAATTTTGTTTTGGGCCTTATGTGCACTTGACTTGATTAGCCTAGGGTTTTTTGACGTATGATTATGTGATAGAGCGGGAATGCGAGTTTATTTGATGTGGTTTTGCGTAGTGACTTGGATTATATGGACTTAAACTTCTGAAAGTGGTTATTATATTGTATTTGTGATCTTAGAAGTAGTTGTGGCTGTTTTTCTTTTTTCTGTTCTGTTTTGCTATGGCAGTTTGCTGTATAATCATGGATGTGATTCTATTTAGTTGCAGATTGTAGTTTAGGGAATTTATAAAGGATGACAATGAGTCAGATGCCTCCAATACAACTGGAGCATGGTTGGGAGTTCATGCAGAATGGTATTCAGAAATTGAAGATAATTTTGGAAGGGAACGCAGAGATGCATTTCAGTGCTGAAGATTATATATCGCTGTATACGTATCCTTTATTGGAAACTTCCACTTATAATGGTGTATTAATGTGTTGTGCTTGCTTAATTGAGGTTCTGAAAATTTACTTACTTATGCTATTTCATTCGATTTGGTTCTATTTTATTTTATTTTTGGGTTTAAGTTCCACTAGAGAAGATTGCTTTTTAAAACTTCATGATTTTCTCCTTATCTGGAATACAGAACCATTTACAATATGTGTACGCAGAAACCTCCTCATGATTATTCTCAGCAGCTATATGAAAAGTACAAGGAAGCATTTGATGATTACATCACATCAACAGTAAGAATATAGCTTGATTCATGCTTTGTTTGACTCAGTGTATATTGGAAGCAGATTTTCACATGGTGTCTTTACAATACCTTAGAGAACAGCTAGAGTTAAGCTGCTCTTAACAGGATTTTTTTCTTCAAAATTTTATAAATTTCTCAGGGTTGCAGTGGCAATCATTTGTTTTAAAGGAGAAGAAAATGATGCAATTTCTTTTCTTTTTTTTTTATTATCTAGAATGTTGTAGTTCATTTAGCCATTCTTTTTTGTTTTTTGGCTCCCGAGAATTTATGTCATAAAAAAGTAATAGTCAAGTGACAATGGTTATGTGATCATTTGACTAGCTTACTTTGACTGAATGAGCTGCTGAAGTTTTTACACTCATCTATGTTAAAACTGATATTTCCAGGGCGGAACGTGAAGTTACACTGGTAAACTTTGATGTATCAATTATTGATTTTATATATAAAGAATGAATAATGGGGCTCCATGTATATAAGTAAGCAATTGATATCTCGTGAAGTGGTTGGGACATGATCGAGTTTGTTATATTAAAACTAGTGGGGTTAATACGGCAAGTATTAAGAGAAGGCAATGAAAACGTGGCATTTATGTTTCAGAACTACAAGCTTACCTATTTTTTATAGGTTGTACTATGACTTTCGTAGAGTCCAGGCTTTTACATGTTGGTCATATGTGGCTTGCACACTGCACCGCTTTCAAACACTCAGTGGTCATGATTTGGACTTCAAATATACAGCTCTAAGAGCAAGCTTTGATTGTACCCTTTGTGTGTTATACTAGTTTTGAGGTTATTATTATTGTAAAATTTGGTACTACATGCTGAAGCTGTTACTTTCTTACCAGGTCTTGCCATCTCTAAGAGGCAAACATGATGAGTTTATGTTGAGGGAGCTTGTTAATAGGTGGGCAAACCACAAAATTATGGTCAGGTGGCTTTCACGCTTTTTTTTTTATCTTGATCGATATTTTATCTCTCGGAGGTCACTTCCTGGTCTGAGTGAAGTTGGGCTGACTTGCTTCCGCAACTTGGTATGTGCCCATTCATAAGGTTTGGTGGTTTCATTTCTCTAGTATCCCTCTAATTTCCTGGTTAACTTCTATTTATTGCAAAAGTTGTGCTAGCATATTTTGGCTGACTTGTTTTAACTGGTGATAGGTTTACCAGGAGTTGAAGGTCAAAGTTAGAGATGCTGTTATTGCTCTGGCAAGTTCCTTTCTTTTGAAACAGTTTCCTTTTGTTTTGAGGGGTTGTGGTTGGCTAAATAAACTGTGATTGCATATCAGATTGATCAAGAACGTGAAGGAGATCAGATTGACAGAGCTCTGTTGAAGAATGTACTGGATATATTTGTTGAAATTGGTATGGGACAGATGGACTACTATGAGAATGACTTTGAGTTAGAGATGCTTGAGGACTCGGCAGCTTTTTACTCCGTAAAAGCATCAAACTGGATTGTGGAAGATTCTTGTCCTGATTACATGTTGAAGGCAAGTTTCTTTTGTTCACTGTTTTATCAGATTGTCACTGTAGTCTGAGTTAGTTATAATGTCTTTGGTGCCTAATAGTTTTTAATGGTTTTTTAATTCAAAACAGGCTGAAGAGTGTTTGAAAAAGGAGAAGGATAGAGTATCTCAATATTTGCATCTCAGCAGCGAGACAAAGCTTTTGGATGTAAGTCTTTTGTGTTATAATGCTTGGATATTAGGAACCTGAATTAAAAATGGCAAAGAGCTGCATTAAAAATAACGGCGAATTTGATAGTATCATCTAGCAACAAAAATGTGGTATTTCTGTTGTTCTCAAAACTTGTTGCTGGTATTTTTTTTCATAAAAGGCCAAAAGCTTTTTGTTTCTGGATCTAATGTTATAGTGAGAGGAGAGTTGCAGTTTCTGTTTTGGAATCATAAACCAATCAATCATGTTTCAATTTATTAAGTTGTCATTTGAATATTTAAAATGAAGTAAAGCTTTTGGGAAGTCTGTAGCTGTTTCTTTTTTCTGATGTAGGTGATACTTCATCCAAAGACTCGAGGGAATAGCTATTTTATTGTGCAGTGAATAAAGTGTATTTTTTTTATGTATCTGTGTTATATAGATATGTCGTCTCATTTTTACCTTGATTTTTGATACAGCATTCAAATGCATGATTATCTTGATTCAAGTTTATAGATGATAAACCTATACATTCTAAAATGCCTGTCTGGTCGAGTTTTATTATGATAAGAAGAAAAAATAGTCAAAATGTCCCTCACATTTTGGCCAAATGTTTTTTTTTGTTCCTCACTTTTAAAATACTAACTTTATGGCCCTAACAAAATTAAGTCTGCCAAATTTAGTCTCAGTCTAGGTTTCCAATCACTTTTTAGCTTGAATTCACCATGTGACCCACACATGGTTATTTTTTTTAATTGCAAAAGGATCAGATCTCATTTTTTAGTGGCAAAATGGAATGTGGCTTAACTACAAATGACCTGACCTGTATTCCTTTTTGCCCTTGTAATTAAACAAATGACTCGACCCACATTCTTTTTGCCAATTAAAAAATGAGATTTGATCTTTTTGCACTTAAAAAAATGTCTGTGTGGTTTATGTGGTGGTTTCCAGCTAAAAAGTGGTCAGAAACCTAGGTTGGGACTAAATTTGGCCAACTTGATTTTGTAAGGGACCTAAAGACACGATCTTAAAAGTGAGAGATGACAAATATGCATTTAATGAAATGTGAGGGACATTTTGAATGATTTTCCCTGATAAGGACATGGATATCATTTGCTTTTAATTTACTTATGATTTGCTGGCTGCTTTTTTGTAGAAAGTGCAACACGAGTTATTGATCACGTATATTAACCAATTGCTCGAGAAGGAGCATTCTGGATGCCGTGCACTGCTCAGAGATGATAAGGTACTTACAGCTGTATTGTTTTAGTGAAGCTCTATCATTGTGTCTTTTGCAAATGAAGACGTAATGCAATGCCTGTGTCCTTCGGATATCAGGTTGATGATTTATCTAGGATGTATAGACTATTCCATAAAGTTCCAAAAGGACTTGATCCGGTGGCAAATGTTTTTAAGCAGGTATAGCTTTCTATTGTCTTATTGAACACAAGTTTACTTTAAGAATGCTAGGTGGCAGCAGTGGTGGCTATTATTTTCTTTTGTCTTGACAATTCATGGCCTTGTGCTGTTTGAATGTTGCCTGTGCAGCATGTCACTGATGAAGGTATGGTTTTGGTACAACAAGCTGAAGATGCAGCAAGTAACAGGGTCAGTATTTTTAGTATGAGACACAACATGAATTGCTATTCATTTTGATTCCCATGACCTGAAGATCCTGCTCTATCATGGATGCAGCAACCTAGAACAGAATACCCTCCAACCAAAGCAGCCCTCAAGAATGATACTATTTATTGAGAAAAAAAAGAAAGACAGTTGAATACTACTTTAGGTGATATAATTTGACTTATCCTACATATGGTTTGCCCTTGTCTCCAAGCAACAGAAAAGGCTAGACTGTTTAGCTAATCTGGCAGCAGTTCCTTGAACATGACCAATGCATTGAGCTTGGCATCAGTGAATTTGAATTGTTACTCTTTGTATGGATTATGAACTTCTAGAAGATAAAGGGTGTTATAACACTTACAATGCAAATTTAATAGATTGATATCCACATTGAAGCATAGTGCCAGAATTCCTTTGTAAGTTTTAGGATAGTACCCATATAATTTTTTGGGGGTTTTTTGCACCTTAAATCTTACTGTTCGTTACTGAGTTTCCTAGCATGATCTGAAAGTAGCATTTTGAATGAAATTAGAAATTTTAGGTGGTATAAAATATGGATATTTATATATATATATATATATATATATATATATTGCCAACTAACTAGTTATGTGCATTGCTGTGAAGTAGCATATTGCTTGGCATCCTTTTTTTTCATTTAATGCTGACAATAGTTCTTGAACAGGCAGAAACTGTTGGTGCCTCGCAGGAGCAGGTGAAACAGAATTCATACTTGTTTATAGCAATTAATTGCATGGTTGTGCTGGGCCTCATAATTGACTTATTTTTCTCCTCCAGGATTTTGTGAAGAAAGTCATTCAGCTGCATGATAAATATATGGCATATGTAAATGACTGCTTCTCAAACAGCACTCTTTTTCACAAGGTATGGGTTACGAAGTAGAACTTTTCTCCTGTTGCTGATAATTTTTGCTTTGAATTATCAAGTTCTTTAAAACTTTCAGGCATTGAAAGATGCTTTTGAGGTCTTTTGCAACAAAGTGGTTGCTGGCAGCTCAAGTGCAGAGCTGTTGGCTTCATACTGTGACAACATCCTGAAGAAGGGTGGTAGTGAAAAACTGAGTGATGAAGCTATTGAAGACACCCTAGATAAGGTGGTGTTAGATTCTTTTCCTGTCATTTCAGGTTTTTTTAGTACTACTTACATCTTATAGGCTTTCTGTATCTTTTTGATTCTTTGGCAGGTGGTGAAGCTTCTTGCATATGTTAGTGATAAGGATCTGTTTGCTGAATTCTACAGGTGAGACTTCTACTTTGTAAAGACTTGTTTTACTTTTCTTTCTATGTGTTCAGCCATGCTAAGTGAAAGTAGCAACTGGAAAAGCTATAATATTACAAAATTTGAAGACGTTTTAGTGGCATTGCATCATTTGATTATTACCACTCTGGCAGGAAGAAGCTTTCTCGTAGATTGCTTTTTGACAAAAGTGCCAATGATGATCATGAAAGACTGATTTTAACTAAGCTAAAGCAACAATGTGGTGGACAATTCACATCAAAAATGGAGGGAATGGTGTGTTGACAGATATTTACTGTGGAATCTATTTTTACCTTTCGGATGTTATTGACTGTTAGACAATGTCATTTTTTCCTCTTCTAGGTGACAGATTTGACACTGGCAAAAGAAAATCAGAACCACTTTCAAGAATACCTTAACAATAACCCAGTTGCTGCTCCTGGGATTGATTTGACTGTCACAGTTCTCACGACGGGATTCTGGCCAAGTTATAAATCCTCTGATCTTAGTCTCCCTGAAGAATTGGCAAGTTTTTTTTTTTTTGGGTTCTTTATTTCTTTCTTTCTTTTAAACTGCTGGTATATCTTGATTTCTTTGTACAATCACAACAATGATTTCTGTCAATAAACTCGCTTCAGGTGAAGTGTGTTGAAGTCTTCAAGGACTTTTACCAGACAAAAACAAAACACCGCAAACTTTCATGGATTTATTCCTTGGGCACTTGCAACATAAATGGGAAGTTTGAGCCAAAACCAATTGAGTTGATTGTGGGGACTTATCAGGTTACTGAACTGTGGAGCTGTTCAATTTCAGGGATCTTATCTCACTTTGAATGCACAATTTTAAGATGTACGTCCCTGCTTTTCAGGCTGCAGTCTTGTTGCTGTTTAATGCTTCAGATAGATTGAGTTACTCTGAGATCAAGACACAGTTATATTTGGCTGATGATGATTTAGTCAGATTGCTTCAATCTCTCTCATGTGCCAAGTATAAAATTCTGAAGAAGGAGCCTAACACTAGATCTGTTTCTCAAAATGATTTCTTTGAGTTCAATTCCAAGTTTACAGACCGAATGAGGCGCATCAGGGTTAGATGTATTCCTGTGTTTGATGTTGTTTTCTAATCACTTACCTTTCCTACGGGCTTCAATTTACAGCTCTTCATTTGTTTGCTGATTTGTATACCCAGATTCCTTTGCCTCCTGTGGATGAAAGGAAAAAAGTAGTGGAAGATGTTGACAAGGATAGAAGATATGCCATTGATGCCTCAATTGTGCGTATTATGAAGAGTAGAAAAGTTCTGGGTCATCAACAATTAGTCCTGGAGTGTGTTCAGCAGCTGGGCCGCATGTTTAAGGTATGTCATTGAGTCAATTTTATTTCACGATAAGAACTATGACTACGAACAGTCATATGGTTCAACATCTGTGGAATCTGAACAATTGTGTCTAATTTTGTCAACTAATGGCTTCTAGATTTTCAGTGTTGTATTTTGCTATTTAATGTGAAAAAGGAGTTTTTGGCATCTGGAATAGGACCTTTGAGTGTAATATTACTGCATCTTTCTGATTTTTGGGGCTCATTCAAGGACAAGTTTTTCTTTTAACATTAACACACCCGTTCTGTTTTACTTATCCCCTCTCATTCTAATTGTCCCACACCCGTTCTGTTTTTCTTTGATATCTAGTATTTGCTTGCTTAATTTCTTGCAGAAGTTGTATTAACTTTTCTGATGTTTTTGAATTATGGTATGGTTAATAGGAAGGTTATGTTTTCTTGCGAGTGTTTGAGCAAAGAATTTGGGCAGGAAAGTAGACCAGCTGTGGAGAAAATATAATTTGGTTGTGGTCACCTTGCAAAAGAAAGGAAACAGCAAAAAAAGAGTAAACAATCATAATGAAACAACCTTTTCATTGTGAATCTTCTTAATTTATTAATCATAATAAAACAGCTTCTATATGTGTTGAAATTACTGATACTCATAATGAATGCTTTCACCTAGCAGTCCTTAGCTCTTTAAAAAAAGCCACAACGCAAAATGGAGGTAAAGAATCCAATAAATAGCTGCTGGGTAAAAGCAAAAGCCCCTTTCTTGTTTAAAATGAACATAAAGCAATTGAAACCTGTAATAAAGGCTGCAGCACTGGTATGTGGGGGTACTACACGGATGAGTAAGAAAGCATTTAGAGTGATAAAGATTGAGTGCATTTCCTGTGTTCTGCTTTGAATATTGTTTTGCACAATTATTTGCCTTTAATATTGGTCAAGTATAATTGTATGCTCTTGGAAAAGCCAAAGCAAGATGTTTGGTTGCTGAGCTGCTTTCTCTTTTTGATTGCATCACTCTGAAGATAAAATTGTGTGTATCCCGATTTGGAAGTATTTTAGTGCATTGTGCAGCCTAACTTTTTTATTGCTTCTTGTTTCTCTAAGGTTCTTTGATGGGTAATCATCTTTGATGTTTTATGCAGCCGGATGTCAAGGCAATAAAAAAGCGGATTGAAGATTTGATCACTAGAGACTACTTGGAAAGAGAGAAAGAGAACCCAAACTCGTACAAGTACTTGGCCTAATTTACACTGCTGGTACCTGCAGTAACATAGAGAATCTACATGACGCACAGATTCCATTCAAGTGTAAATGCGCAGTGAATTCGGGACATCATTTCCCCACCATGATGTTTGACAACGTTCAGCGGCTGGTGTAGCCTACCCCTCAATCTTCACCAGTTAAAACTCTTTTGGCCATGCTACATCACTTGGTATAGCTTTAAGCAAAGACCAATTTTGTCGTTTGTTACTGTAGGCTTGTAAATTTCTATGCCCTAACACCGTCGTATTAGGGCATATTTGCTAAGTATATCTGAAGAAAACATTTTCTATTTGGGAAATGGGATTTCAATGCGATTAACAAACATGCTAATAGAACTATTCTCTAGTTATAGTTTCTTTGGGGATACTTTGCACCATGATCTAAGGGGTACTTGTTTCACATATTGGAATTGTAAATGGAAATGGAATCATGGACTCTGGTTTTGGAATTAAAATTTTCATTCTAATATTTTAGCTTAGTTCACACATTGGAACTAGCATCATTTCAATTCCTGATGTTTGATTTGATGAATGTTTCGAAATTAAATGCAATTAAATTTCAAATTTACCCCTGATATAAAAATTTGGACGACCATCTTGACTGGTTGACACAATTGTAAAGCTGCAGAAATTCTCCAACACCAACACCTCATCATCATTCCATTCAATGGCCTTAATATTCCCTTCCTCCAATTTCTTCACAACCTTTTCCTTGGAAAAATGTCTGCATTGTTTGGAGGATGGTAGATGAAAAGGCACCAATCCAAACTTGGGTTCGCCTTTCCATTTCATCTTGACGGCTATAACCTTTTCCTCGACGTCTCCTTGATTTAGAGTGCAATCACTATGGTCAATGTCGACGTCATCATCATCCGAACATCCTTGCAGGAGGAGGAGCTTCATGGACTTCACCTTGTACCTTGTGGTGGCCAGAGTCGGCCACGGTGACCACTTCATCATCTTCACCACCATCCCTTCTAACTCAATTCGAATTTGATTAAACAAATCCAATACAAGCTAGTTAGTTAAAAGAAACAAAATAAGGAAGAAGAAAACTAGAAAAGAGAAAAAGGAAAGCTTTTGTCGTTGAGGGTTGAGGGTTGAGTTTTCTTTTTCAGTTTTTCTTGCAGATCTTTCTCTTGGAGATCTTGTTGAACAAATTGTCTACTCAAGATATTTGCCCACTGTTAATCCATTTAGATCTACTTTAGATCTTTTTTTTAAAGAGATTTTGGATAAGAGATGAAGAATATATGGGATGATAGAAAAACTGATGAAGAAGAGCAAGAGAGTGAAAAGCATGTGATAGAGAGAGAGAGCAGAGGCGTTAATTGTATGTGATGGGTAGGTCTTTCCATAAATGTTGTGAAAGAATAATTTGAGAGTTTTGTCCAAAATCCCCCAATTTGTTCTGGAATGGGAGAAGTCCGATTTTTTAGAAATGATTCCAAAAAGTACATTCCAATAGATTTAATCCAAACAACAAATAAGGGGATTATTCTATTCCGTGATTTCTAATCCCTTTAACCAAGCGGCTCCTAAGAAGATTCAAGGTTCTACCATTAGCAATTATATTTCTTAATAATGATAATTAGTCAATTTCTATCTTGTTTTGCCATTTTGATTATCTCAATCTCTTTTCCTGAATTTATAATCCACGCGCGACTTTTATTCAGGGCAAAATGGCTATTCTCATTGTGGTTTTGTTTTATCAATTTATTCTTCGAGTTTTACCAAATTAACTAGACAGGCGACTCAAACGCACTTCTACCTTGATGAGTTGCAAGGTGGCTTTTTCAACTCAAATTGTTTATTCAGGCTATAAGAAAAAATAGGAAATGGTAGAAAGACAAACTACCAAGAAGAAAAGGAATTCCCCTTATTTTTTGCAATATAGCCTTTTCAACTCAAATTGTTTATTTAGGCTATAAGAAAAAACAAGGGCGGAAAAAGGGAAAAATGTACAAAGACAAACAACCAAGAAGAAAAGGAATTCCGCTTATTTTGTGCAATACGAGGGTGCTCGTATTAGTGTTTTAATTATGGACATTGTGCTGTTAAAAAAAAAAAAAAAAGTATGGACATTATGTTAAGAGTCCGTACAACACTGATTGACAATGCACTTTCAAAACAAACAAATTCTTGGCCGTTTTCAAAAGATGGCAATCGTTTGGGCCGTCCATTTCTGACGCAAATCCCACTTTATCCCAATGCCCACACTTTTCCCATCATTTGGATTTCAAATATGGGCAGACGTCGACATGACAGATATAATATAGACACTACATCAGATAATGCTAGGGATTAGGTTTCTTCTGGGATTAGGTTTATAAAAGCCGAATTTCTAGACTTCAGTTTAGAAAAGGTCAAGAGATAATGCTAGGGACAATTTGGATCACTTCCGTAGTTGTCAGTGACATTGACACGATAAACATAAACGATAAATATAGACATTAAATAGGATACACAGACAAAGTCCATAACTTCTGATGCAACACTAATACGATCGCTTAACCTATATCTAAATACAGACTTACAGCTCTCTTGATGAGTAATATGATTGAATTCGTTAAACGTTAATAAGAAAAAACTAATACAATTGAATTCGGGGCCTTGGCAATTGATAACGGCAACTTGTGGTGATTCAATAATTGACCTTATATAGCTAGTTAAATGAGGAACTTGGAAAACATCTATCACCACTAGTGTCTGCATTCACAATTGAATTTTGACTAGTCCTCAGGTCCATCATTGTCTCTTTTGGGTTATTTGCATCAAAAGCAAATAATGTCAAGTTGAAAGATTGATGACGGGCAAAAAACATTTGGCATTTGAATGATATACTAAAAAGGATTTTCTGATAAAATGAAAAGAAAACCTAAAAGCAACGTGCGCCGCAAACCGGCATATTAACATAGCGAAACAATTATGTTTGGATAGTAAATTATTTGAAATAATTTTATGAAAAAATACTGTAACACTTTTTAATTGTGATATTTGTGAGATAAAAGAGTGATTGAAAAATGTGTTAATAATGCAATCAAATTAGTGTGTTTAAATAAAGTACAAATAATGTGTAATCCAAACACACAACTCATTGCGGCACTTATCCGAATTATTTAACACTAAATGATAAGCTCTGTCACCGTACGTACGACGACTTTCATTGCCAACGATTGAAGTGATCTCTCATTCAATCTTCTGGGTGACAAGCCAAGTGGTGATATACCCATAATATTCCTGCTGAATAGTGGTTCTTTATGAATCCCCCTTAGATTGCTTTCGGACCGTTCTTCGATTAACTCCTGTGTCTGTTTAAATTAGGTGGATGTTTGTGTAATTTATTTATCGGTTTCAATAAAAAACAAACAAACCATTCAATTGGTGAGAGTGTTCGCCGGGGGGAGGGGGGGTTTAGGGCATCCTATCCTACATCGAAAGATCGTGAGGTCTTTACTCTGAGTTTAAGGTCCACAGAAACCCTGTTCAATTACCAATTGGCTGAATAATAGTTCTTTGTGAATCCCCCTTAGATTGCTTTCGAGCGGTTTTTCGATTAACTTCTGCGTCTGTTTAAATTAGGTGGGTGTGTGTGGGTTATTTATCGGTTTCGATAAAAAAAGATATACCCATAATATTCATTATTCCACTTGCCCACCGTACAAGATTAATGCTACATGATAGAGAAACAAAAACTTCCAAATTTTGTAAAACAAAGAATAAACTATCAACATTAGATATTCATCTTTCAGCTAGTATACATACTAATCAGTTGCTAAGCTATTTAAGCTAGTAACCCCAGCTGCTGCAAATTGTGGGCGCATCTTCCTGCACGCATTTAACATCTAGTTGGAGCCACACAGTAAAAACAAGGATAAAAGAGGTGGCAATTATGCGAGAAGGGGAAAAAAAGCAACTTTAAGTGGCCAAATTAGAAAAGAAAGCACCCTCTTGGAGCAGAATGTCAAGGAACTCGTACATAGGGCTTACTTCAGAATATGGTAAGAAGAAAAACAGGGGAGATCTATCATGGTACTACTGCGTGAACTTGGAACTCTCTGATGTTAACCAAAGTAATGATGTGCATTTCAAAAAACACTTGCTTTATTCTTTCAAGTGGTTTCACAGGATAATGACTAGTAGATAAAATTATGAAAATTAGACTGTTCTACACATAACACCTAACAGAATTGAATTCAACCATATTTGCACTGGGAAAACAAAAAGCCTACCTATCTTGACATAATACTAACCACTGAAAGACTCATGTTAGCATATGCCACCTTAGGAAGAGCAAAAAAGGAATCTCAGTTACCAACCGTGGGTGGCTAACTGAAGCAAATGGACCCATGGAGGAAGGCTGGCACTAGTGAATTGAATTTTGATCATATGCCACATGTATTTACAAATAGGAGCTGCAGTGGAAAATAGAAAAACAGTTTCAGAGTGAAATCTAATGTTATGTTCATGAACTTTGAGGTGTTTTTTCAACCTTGTATACCATTTCAAAAGAGCAGTTGGCCAATCAGCCCATCAGTCTGAGGCAGATACAAACTATAGAATTCACCCTCGTGCAATGCATATTACATGCTTCAAATTTATCAAGTAGGCTACAGAATAACAAAGATGAACTCCCTGCAAGATTGGCACAGTGTAAACTTAAAAAGAAGAACAAAAGAAGGCTTAGAAAAAGTCTTTTTTTTTAAGGCATGCATAAAGAATAATCATACCTGATATTGTGATTATCATGTCTTCCTCCATGGAGCTTCAACCAGATACATTCACCAGGACCAGTTCAGTCCCTTCAGTGAAGATGTTCTATCACCAAGCTCAAAAATTTCTCTAATCTCCTAATCCATACTCTCCTAAAGATGAGAAATTAGTATAAAATATTGACAGGTGCAGGTTCTCAACTCCATGAATACAACTTGGAGACGTAACCATAACAAAATTTAACTCATATCGAGTTGCTCTGAGATGTGGTCTAAAACTCCTTGGCAGGAATTATTTCTTTATCCTTCTGATAACCATTATTCAGTACTTTTATGCAACCAGTTATCCTCGCCTTGGGCATTTAACATGTGTTTTCACTTCCTCTGGAGTTCCAGAACCCCCGGTCAAAGGGGCCACTGCCGCATGTAAAGGTCCATGAAATGTTGCAATTCCAACTATCATTGTACGGATGCACAAGGGTCACCAAAAAGATGGAACTCATTATTCAACTGATAATAGCAAATTGTCTCCAACCAAAAGATCCGCTTCGGTTTCGTTCTTCCTTGATTTGGGAATGGGGGAGACGAAAAAAGGAAAAGGCAAAACTGCCTTCCAGTGATTACCTTTACTTTAACTCTAAACGCAATTCAGCGGTTGATTGCCTCCATTGCAACCCGAACAAGGCGTAGTAATCCATCGACATCTTGGAAGTTGAAATCCAGGGCAGTTTTAACAGAAGATA